CCAGGTGATCAGTGTGTCCTGGGTGCTAGCTCCCCCAGGGCCCCCTCTAACTTTGTTTCCACGTGCCCAAGCCCTCCCAGTGCGAAGGGAAGTGAGGGCAGGTGGCATATGTTCACCCAGAGGTTGCTCAGTGGACGAGGGGCCTGGCGTGCCCGGGAACGGATGTGCATACCATGCGGATTTCCCCTGCAGCACCTGTTCCAGGTGAGTCCTGCTCCCCGGGGCCTGCAGGCACCTGGGCCCTCATCCGTTTAACACGGGCACCGTTCTACCTTCTCAGGCAGATGGGCAGGCGCGGGCCTCCCTCCCGACGTGTGTGCCGTTTCTGCTCTGAGCAGAGAAGGGAATAATAGCTAATCCACCCAACAGAACAGCTAATGGAGCCTGCAGCCGGCAGCCTCGCCACACTGTGTCTGTTCCTCTCCCGCGAGTTCCCCGCTAGCTCATCCGTGGGAAAGTGGTAGACGTCCCCCCAGTGGCAACACCCACAGAGTGTAGTCCTCTTTCCTGTCCCACAGGGGCGACCGCGGCTGCTCCGGCGTCAGGGACAGAGCCGCCCCCACTGACACGCCCTTGTTTACATCACCGATGCCAGCAGACCTCAGATGGGGACTGACTTCTGTGGGGCAGACAGGGTGGCCAGAGGGACTGTGCATGACATTGGATTCCTCAAGTCCTCAAAACCACATGGAAACAGGATTTCACAACTTCCTGATTCGGGCGTGACCTCTGTTTAATAAGAAAGTCTCATTGCAGGTGTTGATTTTTAAAAATGTGTCCAATCTTCATCCACCGGGTGTGGCTCAGGGGTTGAGTGTCAACCTATGCCCCAGGAGGTCACAGTTGGATTCCCGGTCAGGGCACATGTCCGGGTGTGGGCTCGATCCCCAGTAGGAAGCATGCAGGAGGCAGCCGAGCCATGATTCTCTCTCCTCATTGGTGTTTCTGTCTCTCTCCCTCCCCCTTCCTCTCTCTGAAATCCATAAAAAATAAACACACACACAAAGCCGTGTGAAAACCCTCCCTGGGAGCTCGCCGAGTGCTGGGCGGCCACCTCTGGCCCTGCAGTCTGACGGGGGCATGGCGTGGGATGGGAGGGGTATCGGAGGGAGGCGGTCACTGTGCGTGATGAGATGGCCCTCTGAGAACTTCCGTGGAATTTGTCGGGGTGGCTGAGCTTATTTAACTTCTCCTATGGCTTTGCTCGCTACGGTTGGGCTGTGAACTGAGTGTGGATTTTGTGCATTGATTGTTTCTGTTCTGAGCTGCTCCATGGGCAGGAGGAAGGTTATTTTTCCTCATTACCTCATAACTAGAGGCCTGGTGCATGACATTTGTGCATGGGGGTTGGGGGGTGTCCCTCAGCCCAGCCTGCACCATCTCGGGGTGGGGGGGGTGTCCCCTCAGCCCAGCCTGCACCCTCTCCAATCCTGGACCCCTCGGGGGATGTCCAACTGCCGGTTTAGGATGTCCCGATTGCCAGGATTGGGCCTAAACTAGCAGTCAGACATCCCTCTCACAATCCTGGACCACTGGCTCCTAATCGCCCGCCTACCTGCCTGTTCGCCCCTAACTGCACCCCCCCGTCGCCAGCCTGATTGCCCCTCACTGCCCCTGCGTGTCGGCCTAGTCGCCCCTCACTGCCCCCCGCCAGCCTAATCGCCCCCACCTGCCCCCTAGCTGCCTGGTCGCCCCCAACTGTCCCCCCACAGCCGGCTGAGGGAACACGCTAACAACAGCCTTTCTCTGTGGGTCTGGGACTCCATCGTTGATCCATTGCCTCTCGGTTTGATTGCATCTGAAAAACACAAAACACACTTGGATTTGCGTTTATTTACACAGAAGCCACCTGCTTTTCTGCGTTAGGCATGGATTTCGGGGGGCGGGGGGGGGCTTGTCCTGAGAGTTAAGCAGTCCGATGAGGGGGTTCCTGCTTCCCTGGCCGGTATGTGTGTTTCACGGGAGCCATAGTGGCCATCTTTAAGCTCTGCTCTCAGCAGGAATTGTCTGCCAAAGCCGTGCCTCCTGGGCCGCACGGTGACCTATCGGACCCGGTGTTCCAGGTCTTCCTTGACCCACGCCAGTGCCTGCTGCCTCCGTCTACAGATCTATGGTTTCATCTCGCCCCCTGTCAGCTTCCGCCCCTCACACCTCCAGCTCAGGGACTCCACGTGTCTCCGCGGATGGAGGCCCGGTTCTGTCGGTGCTAATTCTGCATTTGCCGCATGGAATACGCTCCGATCTGTTCCGTGGCGGTTATTGTGCTGTGGCCTCAAATCCCTGCCTCTCGTTTTTAATAAACGGCCGGCCTCTGCCGTTTGTCTGAGAACATATTGGATGATTTTCTCGATAACGTGGGGTACGCTGGCGCCTCGCCCCAGGTTTAATAAGACGCTCGGAGGGCTCCGCTGTGGAGCCTCTTCCTTCACCACAAACATTGCCCTGTTTCCCGGGGCTTCGCCTGCGCTCCCCCCGGGAGCCGGTACCTGTGGCTGCGTGAGCATCCCTCCTGCGGACAGTGTCATCTCTCTCTCTCTCTCTCTCTCCCTCTCTTCCCCCCCCTCTCTTCCCCTCTCTCTAAAATCAATAGCATGTCCTCAGGTGAAGATTAAAAAAACAAACAAGCACCTATTCTGTCAACATCGCTGTTCACCTGCGTCTCCGGAAGGCTTTTGCTGAGACCGGCCGGCAGGCCTCATCACGAATGCGTTTCTGCCTTGTTTCCCAGGCCACATTCATAGCACAGAGTGAAGGCCGTCCTTTGACAGTAGCCGCTGGTGATGGTCCAGGCTCAACCCTAACAAAAGCCTCCCCCTTTCGCCTGCGCTGGAAAGAATCACCCCGTGGCCATGCACCCCCCAGTGAAAGCCCCTCATGCAGGGGGAGCCCTGCCGGCCACCCCAGCCAGCCAGCACGGCGCTGGGTGTGACTGGGTTGTGGGCGCCTCGCTGCGGGCTGTTAGGGTGGAGCCAGCACGCGGGGAAAGGCGCGTGGAGGGAGGCAGGACGTGGGCCCTTATAAGTGGACCCGTGGGAAGAGAGCAGCTGAACCCAAACCGCCCTCGGGCCGGGCTTCGCAGGCGGTGGTCACACTGGGTCCCAGCAGCTCCAGCCTCAGGCCTGTTTCGAACCAGATGCACCAATCACGTGTTCATGCTCACGCTGCCTTGGAAAGAGTGGACATTACCCACAGACTCTGATGCCCGTGTCACTAACCTTCCTGAGAATCTCAGAGGGCAGCATGGCTGTTCCGCACACCGCACTGCCTGGAGGGCCGGCACGTGTTCATGCTCACGCTGCCTTGGAAAGAGTGGACGTTACCCACAGACTCTGAGGCCCGTGTCACTAACCTTCCTGAGAATCTCAGACGGCAGCATGGCTGTTCCGCACCCCGCACTGCCTGGAGGGCCACAGATGCACCAATCACGTGTTCATGCTCACGCTGCCTTGGAAAGAGTGGACATTACCCACAGACTCTGATGCCCGTGTCACTAACCTTCCTGAGAATCTCAGAGGGCAGCATGGCTGTTCCGCACACCGCACTGCCTGGAGGGCCGGCGGGGCTCGCACACGGACACAGCTGAGTCAGAGCCGCCTCCCACGTGTGTCCCTCAGGCCTTTCCCGCAAGTTTAACAAACAGGCATCTGACGGTGTTTTAATAAGATTCCAGAGATTCTGATTCCTCTGATACAGATCCATTCGATGTCTCTCCAGTTCTAGGGTTTCTGTGCTTCCTCTTCTCTCTCTCTCTTTCCCTCTCTCTCTCCCTCTCTCACCTACTTACCTGTTTCACCAATCTTTCTATCATCTATATCTATCTGTCATCTCTGTCACTTTCATTTATATATTGTTTGTATCAATCTATCTCTTTCATCTATTATACCTAACTATCATATCTATCATATCTATCTATTGCATCTTTCGTCTATCTATCTATCATCTATCTATCATCTATCTATCTATCTATCTATCTATCATCTCCCTCTATCTATCTATCTATCTACCTATCATCATCTCCCTCTACCTATCTATCTTATTATCTGTCATCTATTATCTAATCTATCTATCTATCTATCTATCTATCTATCTATCTATCTATCTATATCTATCTATGATTGTCACCTGTCTGTCCCTTCTTATCTCCCTGGGTTCTAATCTACCTTTACGACACCTCCTGTGCTCTCTCCCCTTCATCACACATTGGTCCCTAACAGATGCACCCCCCCTCTCAGGAGAAAAGGCCCCGTGTCTGTGGAAAGAAGGTCAGAGAACAGGGTCGTGTTGTGTGTCAGAGCAGCCGGTCTTGCCTAGGTGTCAGGCGCTCATCCCCATGACAGGGTGTTCTTTAAAAGTAAAAATTAAAAACCAGCACTTCACGGCTGTGCAGAGTTACCTGCAGAGGACAATTTTCTAGGCTCAGAAGCTCTTTTTCATATGTTAATGTGAATAATTACATAAATTATGCATATATTTCTCTAAAAGTATTCATTTCGTGGAGTTCTAGGTATCCTTCAAATGTATTTTCATTAATTATAATCAACATTGCTTTTGATTATGCTGAGTTTTCTTTCTGTCATTCCAAGCACTAAAAGTGTTAGCATAAATATTTGATAGATATTTGACGTAAAGCGTAATATGGTTAATTTCGCTTGTGGAGCTGATGATGAATGTCTTTGGAGTCATGTGATGCTGAGTTCTATGAAATTCCCACATGTAACTACTGTCTGTACTGTTACTTCCCAGGCAGCGTGGGAGCACGGGGATGCAGTGGGTAGGGAGCAGAGTGTACCCCACTGTCTGTATTGTGATTCCCAGGCAGCGTGGGAGCACGGGGATGCAGTGGGTAGGGAGCAGAGTGTACCCCACTGTCTGTACTGTTACTTCCCAGGCAGCGTGGGAGCACAGGGATGCAGTGGGGTAGGGAGCAGAGGGGAAGCCTCACAGTGCATGCTGGTCCGAGGCGGAGGTTCCAGGGCGCTAAGTGCCTCCTGTCCCCGCAGGTCATCAAGCTGGCCTTCGAGGAGTTCGAGCTGGAACGCGGCTACGACACGCTGACCGTGGGCGACGCCGGCAAAGTGGGCGACACCAGGACCGTCTTGTACGTGTAAGTGTGTCCCTCCCTTCTCTAGCGCGTTGGGGGCGTGTGCCAGTGCGGGTGGTGCAAGGCTCCCGGGCAGACGCCTTTCTACGCGCCTGGATAGAGGCCACGTAGGCTGATCTCGCGGGTCCACATCGCAGTCCCGGGAGAACTCCTTCGGGGGGTGTGGTCGGCACCCCTGCTTCTTCCAAACCATTAAAAATATGGCAAACAGCCCAGGTGGGTGTGGCTCAGTGGATAGAGCATCAGCCTGCAGACCAAAGGGTCCCGGGTTTGATTCTGGTCAAGGGCAGGTACTGTGGTTGCAGGCTCCTCCCCAGCCCGGGCCCTGGTCGAGGCTCATGCAGGAGGCAACCAATCAATGTGTTTCTCTCACACCGATGTTTCTCTCTGTCTCTCCCTCCCTCTTCCACTCTCCCTAAAAGTCAGTGGGAAAATATCCTTTCAGGGGATGCACTTCTCCACTTTCTGTCGTTCTCACCTGGGCTCTGACAGTCAGGTTTTTGTAAGAGCCAGTGCCTTCTAGAATGAGGCCACGTGCCTCCCGGAAAGCCCGGCCCCGGGGGAAGCTGCGTTGCCAGCAAACGGGACTGTGTGGAGACGGTGGCTCAGGTGGGAGCCCGTGTGGCACACCTGGTGCAGGCGGGAGCCCGTGTCCCACACCTGGTGCAGGCGGGAGCCCGTGTCCCACACCTGGTGCAGGCGGGAGCCCGTGTCCCACACCTGGTGCAGGCGGGAGCCCGTGTCCCACACCTGGTGCAGGCGGGAGCCCGTGTCCCACACCTGGTCTGTTCTCTGATTCTCACTGGCAGCCTCGCTCCCCACCCCCACCCCCAAACAGCTGGCCAAATACAGTCTCCTTTCTTCTCTGCCCGCAGGAGGCCCCAGCAGGGAGCCTCAGGAATCTCGGAGAGGGGTGTCTTCATGTACATGCACGCTTTCCAGCAGCCCCCAGGAGTTTCTATCATTTTACCATTCCCCACACTCTCTCCAAATCACTGTTCTTTGTTGCCAAATTACTGGCTGAAATGACATTTATTCATCAAAACGCGGACTCCGGCAGGGCCGGGCGGGCCTCGGTGTTACGTGAGGCTCCTGCTGACTCTGCTCAGCCTGCCCGGCCTCCCTGTCGCTCCCTGTGGCCCGCGGGCAGTCACTGTGCTCCGTGCGTTCTCCACGGTGAAGTGTGTGATAAACTCCTCCCGCCCGCGGTCGGAGAAAACGATAAAATGCGGGGGGAGCCGGAGGGCAGGGGAGGTAACCCACACAAATGGCCTCCCTACCACCGAGCGCCCCTTTAAGGAAGATGCGGCTGGACAAACGAGGAACTCCTCATAACGAGGACTATAAAGCATGAATGTAGCAGAGCAAGGCCCAGGAAGTCCCCGCGGTCACCGTTAGTGGTGCCCCCATTTTTCGGCGCCGTGTGCTGTAGGGAGAACAGCGAGCCATGAGTCACGCTGAGGAGGGGAGGTGGGGTGGGTGGGAGCACTGGCACTGGACAGCTCAGGCCCACAGATGGGCACTAAACAGCGGCCGCATCTGCCCAGTGCCCTCTGGGGCGTATAATGGAACGAAGATCGGCTGGGCATTGAATCAGCCGCCCGCCGTTCGGAAAAAGGAAAGCAGCGGACATGCCTCCTCAGTCTGCAGACTTGCAGGAAACAAAGGAAAAGCATCAGAGAACCGCAGCCGCCATCTTGGAGCAAGCAGGTAACTGAGAGAATCCGTCAGCCAGTCCTTCCGCGCACGTACGCGTGAGGCCTCGTTCTGGGCACGGAGTGAACGGCTAGTGGAGAAGTGGCCGACGGGGACCGCTGGCACAGAGAGCACGGGGCACAGAGTCTCGTGATCCCCGCGTCCGGAGAACAAGCTGAGACCCGTCTTTAAGGATTTAAGGGAGGGGGTTCTCCCTCAGCTGGATCTGTCATCCGCTCCTTTGTGGGGGGAGGGTACGGCTCCTACCCGGGTCTTAGATTTCAGGAGAATCTTGGAACCTGAGCGAGCCTAACTGACTTATCCTAAATGTGGTTTTAAAAATTCTCATTTCTGCCCTGGCTGGTGTGGCTCAGTGGATAGAACATCGGCCTGTGGACTGAAGGGTTCCAGGTTCCATTCTGGTCAAGGTCACGTACCTCAGTTGCCAGCCCTCCCCGGCCCGGGCCCTGGTTGGGGCTCGTGCAGGAGGCAACCAATCGATGTGTTTCTCTCACATCGAAGTTTCTCTCTGTCTCTCCCTCTCTCTTCCATTCTCCCTAGAAATCAATGGGAAAATATCCTCGGGTGAAGAGAAAAAAAAATTCTCATTCCCGTCAGTGGCTTTTTATTTTCTTCACCTTCTTGGCCAACAAGAGAAAAACTGGATGCTGGTGGCCTCTTTACTAACCTGCTCTCCGAGAGAGAGGGAGGGATGTACTCAGGGGACTTTACGGAAGGACAGACTGCGAACAGAATCCAGTAGCTCATTTAACAAGTCCCTCTTGAGACCGTCTAGGAACATCTATTGATAAATTTCTCAAACTCAATTTGCAGAAGAACCGCGTGTGCGGATGCGCTCCGCCCGGCCCTCTGGCCTCCGCAGCCCTTGGCAGCGGGGACGGGAAGATGCGTTAATTCCAGGCGGCCCAGTCCTGGGGTGCGGGCACAGGGTCCCGCTTTTAAACATGCCTTCCTCTGGGGGATGAACAGTCGCCTCCGGAAGCCAGAGCCCGGGGGCTCTGCCTCTGCCTGCGCCCTTGGTGGGTTGACCCCTGAGGGACGGGCCTCCTTCCCTATGGCCGGCTAACCTGTCATTCCTAAGACTGCCTTTTCCTTCAGGAGCTGCCCTGGTCCCTGCTCGGACGGCTGTCCCCTGCCCTTGTCCTGGGCCGAAAGGCTTCATTCTCTTTTTCATAAAAGACTGGAGCCGGGCTGGTGTGGTTCAGTGGTTGAGCACTGACTTACGCTCCAGGAGGTCACTGGTTCCATTCCCAGTCAGAGCACATGTCTGGGTTGCAAGCTCGGTCCCCAGTAGGGGGCATGCAGGAAGCAGCCAGTCGATGTTGATGCTTCTCTCATTAATGTTTCTCTCTCCTTCTCCTTTCCTCTCTCTCTCTCTAAAAGCAGTAGAAAACATTTTTTTAAAGTACTATGGAAAAGCCACAACCAAGCAGACACTGAGACGGATGTGTGGATACATGCATCTCTGATGCTATCAGCAGGGTCGTCACTGCACGCCTCAGGGATTCGGAGAAAGCCTGAGACCTGGTGACAAGGGTGCTGTTGTCATTTGTGGCTGAAGACACGGAGAGCTCTGACATATGGTCCGCACAGAGCAGGCCGCCTCATACAAAGTGCTCCCTGTTCACCATGCCCCATGTCCCCCATGCTCACATTTCCCAAATCTGTAATAACACATCACAACCAGGGTGTGAACTGTAATTCGCCAATTTTAACTCAGATGTCCCCATTTTCACATGTGTTACCCTGTGCGTATGTGTGTTAAGTTCTACACAGTTCCATCACTTAAGTTCATGCACCCACTCCCACAGCCAAGACACAGAACAGTCCCAACATTGCCAACCTCACCTGGTCAGCATTTCATCATCACCTCCATCTCCTTCTGCTCCACTGGTCCCTGAATGACAACCACTGTCCGTATTGCATCTGCAAAACTGTGACATTGTAGCAATGCTGCATACTCCCAGCTGTAACACTGTGACATTGTAGCAAAGCTGCACACTCCCAGCTGTGACACTGTCACTATAGCGATGCTGCA